TGATGGGCCAAGACAATGTAATATTTCCTCGGTACAACACCAAGTGTGACCAGCTGCTCTGACCAAACAGCAGGTATGTTACCAACGTCAGAGCGGAGAACATGTTTTCCACAGTCACAGCTGATTGAGCTCAATGCGAGTCTGATTCAATGTCCAGAGATATACAATCAATCCAAGGGTCAAACACCACCAACAAAATACAAATATATCTTTCTTTGCTCTATTCTCGAGATAAACCAGCCTGGTTCCAGTAAAGTTCATCTTTGAAAGCCCGTTGTCATTCACAACATTTGAAGAGGGATAGATTGAATCTTCTTCACAATTCAATAGCTGTATGAATTCACATTAAGTAAGGGTATTTTCCAAGTTACAATCAAGGTATACAAATAGATCAACATTTTACATCATGACAATAACCATATATGGAGTAGATATTGAGTTCAGACATAGATGGAAAATTTTGATGTTATCATTGACTGAGGAGGACAAAAATAACAAACAAAAGCAGAAGTTTCTGGAAAAGCTCAGCAAGTCTGGCAGTGAAGAGAAATCAGAGTTAACGTTTCAGATCCGGTGACCTTTGTTCAGAACTGGGAAAGTAGCATTAAAAAGGACCTGAGGGACATTTCTTTCATGCAGGATGTGGTGCATGAATGGAACCAGCTGCCAAAGGAACTCCTGGTGTCGGGTACAATTATAACACTTAAATGCCATCTGGGTGGGTACATGAACAGGAAGGCTTTAGAGGGATCTGTGCCAAAGGCTGGCAAATGGGACAAGGTCAGATTGGCATGCCAATCTAGTGCAGACAAGTTGGATCAAAGTGTCTATTTCCATGCTGTTTCACTCTAACAAGCTATGACTCTGTAACTGAACTTGCACAAAAATACAGATGCTGCAAGGACAGGTCAGAGGCTGGGAATCCTACTGTGAGTAACTGGCATCCTGATTCCCCAATTCCTGTCCAACGTCTAATGTGATCAATTCAGGAATGTGATGGCTTACCCCACTGCAGCTCCACACACACACTCCGGCTGTGTGTGGGCCTTTTGAGGGAGAAACAGCGGCAAGAAGCTGCTGGGGGCCATTCTTGTAGTTTTCAAATCTCCAGACTCTGATGGAAATTCATTGTTTGGCTTCTGTTTCACACTGTTTGTTGACAAAGTCAAAGTCGAAACACAGACAAGACTGTGGAAATATAAGAACCCTGTAAAGGACATTGATTGGAGTCAACATATTCAACCGTTAGTGCATTGGGATTTGGTAACATGAACTGCGCAGACATTGCAGTAGCTTCGGGTAGCACCTTACGTGGAGCTGTGCAATTGTCATTCCATTTCTGGAT